AGACTTACCGGTAACTTGACAGTGTATTTGTACCATTCCCTACAGATTACCAGACTGCTGTAGTCAAAGATCTAGTTCTTTAAGAGACTTACCAGTAACTTGACAGTGTATTTGTATCATTCCCTACAGATTACCAGACTGCTGTAGTTGAGGATCTAGTTCTTTCAAAGGCTTACCGGTAACTTGACAGTGTATTTGTACCATTCCCTACAGATTACCAGACTGCTGTAGTTGAGGATCTAGTTATTTCAAAGGCTTACCGGTAATTTGAAAGTGTAATTATATCGTTCTTTACAGAGTACCTGACTGCTGTGGTTGAGGACTTAGGCCTTTCTCCATCTGAGAATCTACAAGATGTTAAAACCCTTCTAAAAGCTGATGCTTCAGGTTTCACTGCTGCTGCTCAAGGAAAGCAAGCTCATCTAGTCAGTTGCATCAGAAGTATGAGGGGTATTGAGTGATAAATTGTCTCATCGGAGTCAATTATATAAATAAATGTTTGTTGGAAAAGCACACCATGTAATGCATGCAGCTGACATTTGTAGGTGATGGGCACATGGAGTTATTATCACCTCTTAGATAGTAGTTATTTTCCAAAGCCATTGAATTGTGTTGGAAATTTCTATCTTGTATCTCCGGCTGGGCTTTAAAAAGAATCTGTCAGAAATGCTGTAAAAACTGGGACAGGTTATTGATAGAAATGTTCGTTATATCAAAGTTTATTTTGTGTGTATTTTTTAAGAAATTAACATTATATATAGAATTTATCTTGATTCAGAGTTTCCCATCTGTGTTTACATCTTTTGTTTGATGTTATAATTAATCCTAAATTGATAATTCTTTAAAACAAGAATATCATGGTTGCTGACAAATAACTAAACCTTTTAAATGGTGGTGAGATTTTTGTACGAATAAAGAAAATGTTAAAAAGAGGCAGTCATTAGTGAATCTTGTAAATGAAATAATTTGTTAGCATGTCAGAAATTTGCAAACATTCTGACTAGTTGTTACTGGGTTTTACTGGTTCACTCTAAGAATGTGTATGTGTGGATATGTTATTTCCATTTTAGCAATTGTAGATGTGAATAATAAAGAAAGACTGTCAGGAACTTACTTTTTTATATTATATATATAGAAATTAAAAATGTATGTTTGGGTGTGTTGGACTAAGCATTCTTCTACAATAGGTGTCTGTGACTTGTTGGCAATAAATTCAAAAAAATAAATGGACAGCACGCCTTCCACTTGTTTTCAAATAATATATTCAAAACAAGTTAAAGATATATAAAAAATTTCTTAACATATTGTGTCTTAAATACTACACAGTTCTCTTCTTCTTGTCAAAAGTCCACTTAGGCCAATTCAATTGTTTTAGAATTCAGTTGACAAGCCAAACTATTTTTCTCTCTTTTTATTTTAAACACTATCAGTGTATAATTCACTTATTCTTTTTCTTCTCTATCTTTTGTCTTTTATTACAACAGTATCGATGTATAATTCACTTACGCTGTCGTTACCGCGGTTGTATCCTGAATTTATGATACTCGTCTGATTTTTTTGTATTTAGGCCTACTTCCAATAAATGTTTGCTTTTTGCATGTAGGCCTACTTCCAGATAATCCTCTGCTTTTTGTCAAAGTCCACACAAGCAGGTTCAATTGCTTTAGAACACCATTTGACAAGACAAATTATTTTCCTAAAATCTCAGAAAAATGTTAGTCTCACTTTAACATATCAGCCATTAGGCTATTCACGCCTATGATGGTTATCTTTACGTTTTGTAACCTTTATCTGACTGAAACTCTCTTTCACTCGGCTTTACTTTTGGCTTTCTTCCTGCTCTCTGGTCTCTCATATGGCCGCCACTATTTATATCTCTCACTGAGGCATTCTAGAAATCTCCGTATTCTCGACATCAACAACTTACAAACACAATTTCCAATAATTGTCTGTTTTTAACTCTCTTATTATGAAAGTAACTAAACAATCATAGAATATTAACTCACAAAATAATTAATACTACGTACACTAAACAATCTTTTACATCTGACAAAGACACAATTACAAATATGTATATGCATGTATGTGTAACATTAAACAAAACTCTTAAGTATATCACTCTCAAAATGTATATAATATTAAATTAATCCAAATAATAAAAAATATTGTAACATGAGATTACTATTTTGATACTGATCAAAAGGACAGTATTTAATTTTTGTCATATTTTGTTTGAATTGTTCCTGCCATTCATGTTCGAGGAACCTCCTTTTCGTGTCAGACATCATAGGAATTTCTCATAATGTCTAAAACTAGGTCAGGGATCCCCCCAAAAAACTAAGAGGATCTATTTGGGAGATTGAAGTAAAGAAGTATTTTCAAAAGATGAAAATTCAACAATGGAAAAAGAAGTATAAAAAAATTAATCTTTGATAAGATAAAACAGGGAAAATGCTTAAAATTCTAATTGAGCCAATCATATTTTGATATGCTAGTTGGTCCATGGGCCTCCTAGCTTGTCAGGGTTAACTAAATGACTCAAATTTCAAAACATGTTGGTTAGTTGTAAATTTATGTATGAAATCTATAAACTTGGTTGTATGATATACAAAGTAGTTATAAAATAAACTTTGTTTTGTTTGTATGGCTAAGAGTACTCCAAATTGTAGTTAAAATAGTTCAATATTAAATCCACAACTGAATGAATTAAATGACCAACAATTTTGGAGGAAGTGAAAACAGATTATGAAATGCTGAAACACAAAGAATCATAAGTTCAGGTTGCAACTGAGGAAAATAGGAAGATCAGTTTTATGTGAGGATAATTGATTAGTTTAATGCAATTGATTAATAAGCCGAACAGTCAATCAAACTGTCATATATATATATATACACACACCTGGAAAAAAGTTAAGCACCCCGTGTTTTTTTCAAGTGATTCAGATTCGACGTTCTTGTGACTGATTATAAATTACCATTCAATCTAAACGTGTTTATCAAATGAAATTA